ATCATCGTCAAGACCTTCATCTTCATCCCCGCTCCCAAACCTCGAAATTCGAGATGACACACGTAACGGCCATCCTCGTCATTCCCCTCCTCCTTTTCCTCCTCCTCCTCTCCCACATCCATCATCGTGCATTTCTCCCCGCAGCCTGCACCCTGCTGGGCGGCTGGGCTGACTCCTCGCAATGCGACCACACGTTGTACAGCAGGTACGCCTGAGCTGCCGGGAGGAACAGATGCTACATCAAGGAAGGCTGCCCCTCTAAAGCTGGACAGGATGGAGAAACGGCCCTCCCAGAAACGGATGACGGGAGAGCGAGACAGAGAGAGAGGGAGAAAAGGAACGGGGGGTGGAAGGGGGGAAGGGCGGATCCCCCCGTCCGTTTCCTTTTCGACCAGTCGCCCCTATTTCACCCCCGTTTTTCCTGCTCCTGTTTCTGCTGATCCTCCTCATTTCGAGAGGGAGGACAAGAGGGAAGAGAAGATCCCCCCCGCGCACGCAACCGCTCGCGCGACTAACAATATGGGATGCGCGGTGAAATATGGACGTGGTACTGCTTTGCGGTGCTGGACATGGTATGCAACACGAGGGAACCACGGACACGTAGTCCGGCCAGACTGGGCGCCCCCGATCCACAACTGGCAACGGGAAACTGAGACGATCACGAGGGGCAGCATATAAAGACCTACCGTTCGAGTCTGGCGCTCAAAGGAATATGCCTGTACCTCGTCGGTCCGACTACGGAACACACGCCGACACCAACGAAGCAAAAGTAAGCTAATCTGGAAAACGTTATACGAAACACGCCTTTCAGAAACAGTTTTGCGAATGAGGGGAGCTGAGGACAGGAGACATTGTACTGACCAGGTCCTCAAGAATGAACTGTCCAGCAGCAGAACATTCGAATGGAGCACGCAGGCGTTCACTGTCGTGCCCTGCTGTCCGAGACCTGCTGCTCCACTAACATAGCTCGTGGAAGCAACCCACTCACTGGTATGCTGTGCTCTTCGCATGTTCCCCTGTTCCTGATGAATGTGTCGCATTCACGAACACAATTTCGCGACATGCGCGTCGGTCGTCGCATTCGCGAACATAGTCCAGACATGCGACGCCGAGTGGGCTACCCAGTAACATCGTCATTGTCCCCGTTGAGGTCGCTGTGGCGGGAGCTCGGCACCGTCTCCTTGCGCCGCTCTCCGCTGAACCTCACTGCGGGGTGTTCGTAAGCGAACTACCATTCCATGATGTCGGAGATGAACTCCGAACCGATACTCCCCTTCGTCATGAGGTCGGCCCCCCCGTCACGGGTGTCGCACCATAGCATATTGGAGACCTGTTTGGCGCGTAGCTCGTCTGCCAGCCGCCATAGGTGGCCTGTCTTACTAGTATTTGCTAGCTGCCGCCCGTGGCCCATGGCCAAAACGGAGAAGACGGACATGCCGTCCACGATCAGTTCGGCCAGCACAGCGCAGCCCCCCTCCCCCCTCAGCCTCTCAACCTCTCCTGCTGAGTCGGGTCCGCGCACCATCTCGTAGAGCGCCTGGAGGTGCGCCTATAGGCTGTCTGCAGCTCCACGTGTTGCGAGCAGCTCGGAGCCAAATGATGATCGGTACACATGCTCATGCGATCGGCACACAGCGTCGAGCAAGGAGCAGATCTGCTCACTTGTACTGCGACACTTGCCCAGACGCACGCATACGTCGCCACGCACGCCGCGTCCTGTCTGATAGTGACGCTTGATCGAGCCTCCGCCATGCACGCAGATATGGCCCACGCACACCATCGCCGGGAACACGACGCGCGCCTCGATCTTCGGCGCGACCTGAACAACGGACAAAAGCTGCATCAAATGTCTGATGAGCAGCTTGTTGTCGGCCCCCTGCAGCGCGACCGCGCAGACGGCAACGCGGCGCTGCGCGGGCAGCGCGCGGGCAGCGGCTCCAAAGAAAAAAACAAAGAGGTCAGGAAGGGGGGCCTCCGGCCGGCTCGCTGGCCTTCGCCTGGACCAGGTCAACGTGCCCGCTGGGGAGTAGCGGCTTAGCGCGTCGATGCACTCGTCCTGGTCGAGACTCACTGTACCATCGGCACAGCGGTGCCGCGGGGCTCCGCAGTTCGCAAAGTCGTCATAGCCCTCCTGTATCTTCCCGAAGACGCACCCGACGTGGCCGATGAGTCGGTCGACGCGGTCCTTGCGCCCTGCGACGTTGAGATCATCAACATGCCTGGACAGCATGAGCATATACTCTGCACCACCAGCACCACAGGTGTCGGACGCCTCATGTTTGACCTCGGGCCCCAGGCCCCACCGCGTCGACTCGGCGCTGCACTTGGGCGAACGCGCGACCCCGGCGAGCTTCACGGAGAAAGCTCCGGGCGCATCCTTGCAGCCCGTGCACAGTGATCCATAGCGCGAGCCTCGAGGATGACGGCGGCCACCTCCTTGGACAGACTCGACACCTCCCCTCCGGCTAGGAGAACGGCGTCGCCGTTGATTACAGCGGCCACGACGGCGGCATACACTTCAAGCACTACTCTGGCGGCCGCGCTGGCTACACAGTTGCCCCCGCGGCATCTCAGGAATGTCTCTCGCGCTCCAGGCACCAGGACCCAAGCGCAACTCAACGCGCCCTCCTCCCCGCTAGCTCGGCGCAGTCCTCTACGGAGGCGCCGCGCAGGTAGTAGTGACACTGCGTGTGGGCGCGCCAACGCCCGCGCCGCGCCTCCAGGCGCTGGGGCCACTCGCGTGGCCGGCGGCCCATGCGGACACGTGCTCGACGGCAGCGTACACCATCTGCTGGCTGTCGGCGCGATCCAGCTCCTGTAGCTCCTGAGTCAGATCGTCCGCGCCCTCGACTGCCTGCAAATCTGCCCACATCACCTGTTGGATGTGGACAGAGAAGTCGCTGTAGGCTTCCTTGGATATCACCGACAGGGCCGATGGTGAACCACCCTCGGCGACGCTGGCGGCGCCCTCGGGGACGTCGATAACACTGTTATCGACCGCCCCGCCATGGCCCTGCTCGGCGTCGGCCGCCAGCAGCTGTTCGTCACCCAGGACAAACTGGACGATGCGAGCGCCCTTCCACTGCTCGCCGACGAGGCTGCGAGCGTCGAAGTTGACGCCGTCAAAATGCAGTTGGCGAACGTCGCACGGGTTCAGGAAGAACCACCAGATGACCAGACTGCGGGCGCAGCCTGGCCAGTCGCCCACAGATCTCTGGCCGCGCACGAGACGCACGGCGCGGACGTCAGGAAGCTGGAAGCATCTGCGAGACAAGTGTCGCAAGCATCGAGGACATCAGGGCGTCGCCGAGCCTGCTCGGTCAGCTGCGTGCCCCGCTCGCCCCCCCAGTTGCCGAAACTCCTGGATCCTGGGCCTGGCGCGATGTGCTCTACGAACTCCTCCACGCGATCCCAGGCCAGGCCTGGCCGCGCCATGCTGGGGCCCACGTCCTCGAAGATGGCGCGGGTGAAGGTCCGTGGGTCCTTGGTGCCTTCAGACCATCTCTGCGCTGCAGCACTCGACCGCAACCCTGCCTCTGGCCTGGCCCACAGAAAAGACACTGCCCAGCCTGACACGTCAATATGCTGGGAGGCCGGTGAATCTCCACCTGATCACCCACGTTGAAACGCCCCCCCTCGGTCTCTGCGGCGCGTGCCCGGAGGGCGCGACTAACGCGGGAGATCGAAATTGCCCCGATTATACGGTGCATGCCGATGCCACGGATACGCCACTGCAGTCGGCTGGGCTGCGCCTCACCACCAGCAGCGGGCCCAGCTCCGGCGACAGTCGCCCTCGCCCTCCTCGTCTGCTTCGCGCGGCGGCATCATGGAGGGCTGCCCACCGAAGACGACGTTGCACGGCGCAACGCCGCCCACGTGGATGAGGCCGTTGCCAACGAAGATGGCGCGGGCCCGCATGGAGTCGACGTTGGCGGCCACGCGCTCGCGCTCCAATTGCTCCTCTGCGGCGCGTGGCGCACGCCGTAGCATTGCACCACGTCGCTCTATGAAACGAGCGTGCCCACATGGGGCGCGGATGTCCACCCAGGCACCCCCCCTCTTCATCTCCTCCACGAAGCACTCGAAGGTCACCCCGCCTTCGCCGTCCCCGATGACGGTCTCCATCGATTCAAGTAGCTGGATCCAGGACCTTTCAACTGCTGCCAGCAAAGCTGAGTCGCATCTGTCCGCGATCTCCAGGCCGTTGTCCCACCGTGAGGCGCAGAAAGTCGACCGCAGTATCATGCGATCCCCGTAGTACAGGATGCCGCGTGCAACTTGCTGGTTCAATCGCGTCGACAGGCGTAGAGTGGGGATGGTCTGGTGTGCTAGCGGAAGCCACTTACTATATTCCTGTCAGTTGTTGACGCTGCGGGGATGAGGTAGAGGATGGACTGCGGCATGTTGACGGCACGCAATGCTCGAGCCATCTTCTCCTTAGCGGCATGCCGCCACCAGACGTAGTTCGCGTAGCTCTCGCATGCGCGCCCCGTGCGAGTCGCCACGGAGTGCTCGTAGTGACGTAGCGATGTCAAAACAAATCCAGTCTGCAGGCGTCAGTTTGCCTACAGCAGCGTCGGCAGCTCGCGGCGCTGCCCGACTCGGCGTCGCGCAGTTTGCTGGACTGGCTAGTAGTCGTGAACCTGCAACACACTTGCCGGATCCAGCCCTGAGCCCCAGCGCTGCCGGATGAGCTGGCTCCTGGCGCACTGGATGGTGCCAGTGGTAAGCTGCCTCGTTTGCTGCTCCGATGTCGGCATCTTCAGGTGGGTAGTTGAGCCCGTTGATCGCCGGTTGGGCGCGGTACTCCGGGTCGCGCCTGCGCTCGCGGATGTCGGCTGGATCTGAGGCCACTGCTGGGCGGGCTGCCGCATGGACGCTACATTCGCAGACATAGTTCGCTGCACGCAGGCGCCCCAAGCGTCGGCGTCGGCCCACGATGCCCCGGACAAGCCGTTCGGCCATCTTCGACGGCCAGATTTCGGCGTCGAAGCTGTCCCGACCCTCGACGCGCACGCGGGCGCGTTGGTTTGTGTATTTGATGTTCACGAACTGAACGAAAATCTCCAGGAAGTTCAAGACCAAGCCCGCGGTCTTCCGTAAGATACCCCCGCGACGATCTCGCAGCCCAAATTGGCACTGGTCGAAGACGACCTCGCGCGCGCCCGGTGACGCCAGCACATCTGGCCAAGGCGGCTTTCTGCACGGCCA